ATTCTGTATACGCAGCTGTTAGCTTTAGCAATTTCCAGGACCTCTGCAGTCAGTCTTCTGTGTTGATCACAGTCCGCTCTTAATGGTTTCGACATTATCCAAGTCAATATTATGTTCTGTGTCTAACGCGTGCAACGCCACCGCCGAATCTCTTAGTGGAGAACTGTATTCAAGCTTATTCCTCGGTGGCCGTAACATACTCCTATTGTGTTTTCCTAACTTCGTGCACAATTCTCCATCCGTTTAACCTATTTACACATGTGCAAAGTACTTTCAGCTAATTCTGTGGACGAAGTTAGTCGTTCTAGCTGCGTACTGCTTTTTTCCGGACGGAGCTTTTGGCTATAATGGCAAATAACCCTCATTTCTCACTTTTGTAACACTCTCCGGATGACCCCTGAAGTTCCCTCTTTGTAAGGACTCCTTATGATCACAATTCACCCCGTGGTATGCCGTGGATGTGGAGTTAGAACCTACTGCAACTGGCGTTTCACCAGCCGTCTTGGATATTCACTATCCAGCATTTGGTTCATTGCTTACTTCCGAGCGGTCTTTTTATCCACTTCGTCTGTGCACTGGGTCTGAGCTCTGTGAAACAGTGATGAGGCGACTACAACATATATATGCTTCGGAAAAACTGGATTGTAGTGTGGTACCCTATCTATGTTTGCCTGTTCGCGGAGTATCGTTGTTTTTAAGTTACCCCCATTTATGTGGACTAAGCAGTCAAGGAAAGACAATGTATCATCGCATGTTTCAAATTCTATAGCACGGTTTGTAGCCTTATTAACGGAGTTCGAGCGATCTAGAAACTCGTCCTTCCTATCTCGTTTGATGTTAACCAACGCGTCGTCCAAGTAGCACTACCAAATGTTCGGCGAGCTATTAAGTTGGCCACTACCTTGCTTTTGTAGTATTCTATACACATTGCTTATTGGGTCATTCTGTAGTACACGCGTGAATGAATACTGAATACTGAATACTGTATTATAGAGTAAGTAGAAATGAATTTTGTACAACTCTTTCGAAATATGGTGAAAACGTCATAAAAGTTGTCAACTGTGAATGTCGTTGTCGTTCTCATGTAACATTTAAAATATCTAACTTACGATATTTCAGGACTCACAAATGTGGTATGTCATCGTAAGTGTGCAATTGTTCTCTGAATCGAATAGTGGCAAAGTGTAACTCTGACAACGTTTTGAACTGCTGCACAGATGTTGCCTCCATCACATGTTCAGGTAAACTGTACCAAATGTTTGCCACTCTCCGTTCGAAGCACAGTGGGTGGGGAACACGTTTCACAACCGGCACGACAAGTTTGTATCTGTGTCCGCGTGTACTGCATGGCCCTCGTAAGTGTAGCATTGGCCTTAGCATTGGGAAGTCACCGACAGGTAGAATACGGTAAGTCATAATGAGGTCGACTCGCACCCGACGGTAGGACAAGGTGTAGAGTCGTAATTTCTCGCACCGGTCCTCATACCCAAAGCCACGTAAACTCGGGATCAGCCTAGTAGCAACTTGTTGGAGTCGTTCGATCTTCTGTGCCTCGTCTCGGGTAATCGGAAAGTAGGCGGCCGAACTGGACTCTAGCATTTGTCTAATGATAGAAGAGAAGAGGCGAGTGGCAATGTCTTCAGACCATGTGCCGAATGGACTGCAACGCAAGAGCTGATTTCTAGCTACCCTCTGTATAACTACGTTATCTCTTCCACAGATTTCCAATTGCTAATAGGCCGTCGTTGCTTGATCTTGTGCTCACCAACAAAGAACTCATGATCAACGGAATAGTTATAAGCACGCGTTTGGGTCGCAGTGACCATCTTACCTTACCGATTGACTACACATGTTCTGCAGAATCTCCTGAAGAGGAGAATGTCAACCTATAGACTACCACACACTACCACGTGTTATTCACGTATGTTCAGATGACAGCTTGGAACTTTTTAACTGATTACCTTTCAGGAGTCGCTCTACCAACAGCAGCCAGTAATCTGGCAGAAACTCTGGCTATTTTCTATAAACGCTGTCTAGGGGTATTAGGTGGCCACAAGAGGTGAACGCCGCGACACATTTTCAGGACACTAACAGGGCCTACGGTAGATCACATGGAAGATGACCCACTCACTTCGCAATTTATGACACAAGTTGCCGCGTCATCCAGAGCAGTTGACGAAGCCAGTTCACCCTCACTGCACGGGTTACTATGGTGTGGACGTGCTCGTAAGTACAACCAGACAGTGAAATCCGCTTACAGCTTTGAACCTGTCTAGACAAGTATCGTAAATCACCTCAGTGACGGAGTGGCGAAGTGAGTGCATGTGACGCATAAAGTAAGCATACTCTATCTCTAGTACACTTTAGTCTAGTAGGCCTCACTGTTCTGTTTCTTCCCTGGTTGAGTTGGCGGCGCAGAGAGCAGGGGCAAGAGCAACGATACAACAAGGGGAACCAATTTCTACCAATATGGAAGTGAGGGATCATCACCCCTCGTCATAAGGTAGGTAGTCGTACTGACGCTGCCAATTGCCATCCGGTAAGACTGCTTCCTGTGCTTTCTGAAGATTTGAAACCAATCATCCCAGGCACGCTTCTGTATTGTTTGGAAAAACATAACATTTTAGCCCCGAAGCAACACGGCTCCCGCCAAAATTGCTCATACCCCACGAACCAATTAATTGCACGCAATAGCTAGACTGAAGCAAGAGCAAAAGTCAATGTCATCTGCCTAGACGTATCAAAAGCGTTTGATGGCCTAGGCCATGGAATTCTCCTTCATATGCTTTGGAACTACGGCACTGGCTGCCCAATCCTGGGTTGGATAATCAATTTTCCACGCGAACGTCGGTTGGAGCTGAGAGTACGAGAATCTGTCCGACAAAATTGATTTGGAGTGCGATGTACCACAGGGCTAGGTGCTAGGGTCTCGTCTATTCTTGGTATTCATAAATAAACTAGCGTGGTCTTTTATTTCCGATTTTCTATTCCTCTCTGATGATGGACGATCAAGAAACCAGACGACCACGAAGATCTCCAATGCGGACTTAACACCATTTTGAACCATTCAGTTTAGTATGCCCTATCATATAATGTGGAAAAACGTCGCGTTGCTCAACTACACACTCTTCAAATCTACATGTATTGGCTTGGGTCAAACCTACTACAAACGACTTCCCAGGAACGTGACCTTGGTATGCTCAAGCAAAGTGACCTAAACTGTTCAAAACAGGCTGAAGCAGCTGGGGAGAGAGGCATTCAGCACGTCGATCTGCAGTGGAAGGCATTCGAGAGTTTTGAACCATCCATCTTTCCGATGATGCAAAACCCTTACGTGCGCACTCACGTTGAATACACTATACAAGCATGACAACCTTGGTTGAAGCACGAGCTGGAGGTGCTGGAAGCACCAACACGTAGAACAACAAAGAACTCAAGGGTCTACACAATTTCTTTACTGACGAACGCTGGTTATTGGTAACTATCAGGGTACGCTACGCAAGGCTATGTGGTGATCTCCTACTAGTGTGCTAAATATCGTGGGACCCTAATCACGAATGCCGTCACTTGCTGAAACTCATCCATAACACCGATCTCAGAGGTAGCTGCTTGAAACCGAGTGAACAGTACAGCCTTCTAGAATGCCAACGGAACTATTTTTCTCTGTGTGTGAAACCTGGCCGCTTAAAGCAGCAGACCTGAAGAGGCTAGTTACGTTCGACCACCGGTGCCTTCATAATTTAGCTCACATCTGGTGGGAACACCGCGTGAGCAACGAGCGTGTTCGACTCCTTGTTTATGGCACAGGAAAAGGAACTGAACCGCTCAGCACCGTTATTTCGCGCATCAGGCTCCGATGGCTCGGTCACGTGTTACGCATGCCAGCCCACCGACTCCCGCGACGGGTGTTGTTTGCGCGCCGGGGGTGTGGATGGAAGAAGAGGAGGGGTGGCCAAGTGATGACTTGGTCGAGAGGAATGAAGTCCGTCACTTCAGAGCTAGCCTCGGTTGGAGTGTCTCGGCTCCCTGGTTGGGGTCCGAAAGACGATGAACACGTTTGGTTGGACACACTTGCTGATATGGCTAGGAGCCGACCTCATTGGCGTTCGTGCTGTGAGTTTCTTTGTCCCATCCCGTCCCTCTTAGCCTCCCCCTCCAACCACGATCTCATTATTTAGCCTTATATAATTTTGCATAATAATTTTTTTGGTGCACAGCAGCCGGCTGGTAGTTTACCGGAACGATGCCCATCCGTTACCAGTAGCTCAGCTGATTTACGCCTATTGCATTGTATTCCCCTTTTTTTTAGGTATTGCGGCACAGTAGCTGAGGTGTTCCCCACCTCTAGCTAACGTGTATGATGATGATTGTGATGATGTGTGTTTGCCAACCTTGGAATTTTCTCCCCAAACTCAGTTGTATCCCCTCCCTTACTGTGGAGATTTGCAAAGTCATTAGATGCTGCTCTTGCCTCTCAGCACTCTGTTACCTAAGCCGTGCTACCTTGAAATATATTAGTCGTGCCCTCATACCGGACCTATGTGTCACATGGATTTAAGGTAGCCGTACATTAGTAAGCCTTCTAGTTTTTATCTTTCTCATGGAATCTTTCGATTATAACTTCCAAGTATATTGTGGTGTATGGTTACATTCAAGACTTATTTACACTACCGTTATTCAGCACCAAATTTACTCGATGGATGTTTAAACAAATGACTCCCAAATCTTTGGATTTTGTGATTTTCACCCCAGCAATTCTACGGGCATGGTCAATCATTTACTTTTTCCCATGATAAATCGTTGTCCGCTGTGTATTAAATGTGTTCTTTGGTTTTGATTCTTGACAATGCGCTTGTTCTACACGTTACCCTCACGAACTGGCGATATCGAGATCATTTAGTTTTATCTCTCCGACTAAAGCGCAATGCGACATGCATCCATTTGTATTCATTGGATGTACTTCGGATTTATTCTTATTGTTTCCTCTTATTCTGACTCAGCTTATTGTTGCAGGCTGCGCTGGATTTGTCGGCGGCCTCTGTGGTCAACCAGCTGATTTGATCAATGTACGAATGCAGAATGACATGAAGAAACCAACAACGGAGCGCAGAAACTACAAACACTGTTTCGATGGCCTCCTACGTGTGTATCGACAGGGTGGCGTTACAGAACTGTACAGTGGGGTGAGTATGATGGCCAGTCGTTCCGCTCTCATGACTGTTGGTCAAGCTGTTGGATACGATCAGTGCAAGCACTTCTTCTTGTGGACGGGAATTTTTCAGGACACGCCGGTAAGGCAGAGACTTTTGCCCTCTTATTCTTCCCAACACTGTTGTATTATACTTACAAATTTCGCCATGACGTAATTCACATTCCAAGACACATTATCTAGTCCATCTCGCAGCACGACCAGTGGGATTTTGGGATGGGGATTAGGCCGATCCATGGCTGACAGCTGTGATGTACTACAACGTTTCTCCGTTGGGTCGAGCAGTACTTGTATGTTTAGAATTATGCACTAATGTTACCTTATTCACCACCTTTAACCCAAACGGATTAATTTTTCTTCCCAAGGATCAGTGGAACAATGGTTTTTTACGGGTAAAAAAGCTAATGCTCAACAGGCCCCTTAGAATAGTTAAGGTTAAACTACAAAATATAAAAAATGTTAGCAAAATTGGGTCTACACCAATAAACTCACTGAAGTATACGTAGTGTAGATTGTAAGTCCAAAATAAATCCACAATAAATGACGGCAAATGGGATATTGGTACCAATCGTGTCTCTTTCTGATATGCACACAGAAGAAGTGAAAAACGTGGAACGGAATCTGTGCTGTGACCGCCACTGAACTCGCTTACAGTCACTTGGTTTATCCATGGGTAATGAGTGATGTAAGATGGTGCAGGAAAATAAGTGCGTGGACAACTCGGGCTTTGAACTCTGCCAGCATGGGAGCACATATGACAGATTCTGATAGGACATTTCACGTACGGCAAATGCGTACAGACAAGAACTTCCGAAGGCATTGCAAGCGACTGTGTTGTTCTGCCAGTTTGAGATGGTGACATCTCAAATTGCCGTTGTGACTAAGTTCTACTAAGAAGCAACACGTGTGGTTTGGGTCCCTCAAAATTTGGTACGTCACAATGATCTCCGCGGTGTCTGGTTTCTATCTAACCGAGACTTACTGAATGTGTTGGGTGGTTAGCCTAGATTTAGCGATTCAAGCGTTCTTAGTACGTTCTTTACTCACCGGCTTTTCATCCGTAACATCACCTCAGCTCGGGTACACCCACTTGCTGTCACATGAAATCAAAGCACTGAGGTGCTGTTGATATTTTATTTTTTAGTTGAGGGAAACTTTCCGCCGGTGGATGGTAAAACAAAATTCTGACAGGAACAACTGGATTTATCCAAGGTTGCATTGGCTGATGTGATTTGCGAATGAAACCCCACCAGAATCGTCAAAATCATCTGGTATAGTTCCCAGCAAGAACGCTAAATTGATTGCGTTCAGAGTCACCACCATTCGGCTGACCCAGTTGCTGTCCACCTTGTAGAAAGTTTTGTTCTTATATTACTTTACTGGCCTCGCAATACTGGCAGATCTTGTTTTATTCCAAAGTCCTCTCTTTTCGCATGAGACAATCTGCTCTTTCAATTTATTGAGGGAGACGTTTATGATTATTTGCTTTTGTGGCGGAAGTTTTTGATTGGCACATGTTTTGGGTTCTACTTACATAGCTGTTTAGATCTTCCTCGGACCAAATGCAGCATACTGGGCGATTGCCAGTCCCAATCAGCACGACCATCTTTTCTCTCCTCTTGCAGTCCACTCATCTCTTGTCTGGAGTGGGTGCAGCCGCATCGGCCGTCGTCCTCACCCAACCATTCGACGTGCTCAAAACACGAATGCAAAACGCCACCCCAGGTCAATACAAAGGACTGATTTCGGTGACCAAAGAATTATTTCTGAGCCACAAGCATGGGACGCCAGCTGATTCGAAAACCGCACCGACTCTTTCCGTGGCTCCCTCACTTTGGAGGAGGTTGTTTGGTTTTACCGCATTTTTCAAGGGTCTTACACCGGCTTTTATCCGTGTGGGGCCACACACTGTAATGTTGTTTATATTCAAGGAGCAACTGACCAAGCATTTTGGCTTTGATAGACGAGTTGGCGGTTAAGCGCTGCTTCGAACGAGTATCTGCTTCGAAATTCGAGCTACTCACATCCTTGCTTCTTGCTGGTCTTTCACACTTCCTCTTTTGTATTGAACTTTGGGTGACTTGTTCGAGTAACTCACTCCATTTCATTCCATTTTCTTGGTACGGAGTCCGGTGTTCGGCACCGACTGGCTCTCGTAAGGGCATTTCTGACACCGTTTCCGCACTCAGTGATGCGATACATACGACACAGCTAGATAGTGATGCAATTTCCCCCATTTTCGAGAAACTTATGTGGTGTGATATTTTCCATTTGTAATAAACTCTAGAACTTTCAGACTTTTGCAGCCATCAAACTGGGTTATTTGTATGCGTCACCTCTCCCTCGACCTCGTTCATTCTCGCATGAATCTCGCCCGTAAATCAGTTAGAACGCGCCTAAATATGCCTAGTAGTAATTCTTCCTGAAAATTTAAACAATACACTATGTTAACATACTGTTTTGCATTCCGTGACTTGAGGCTGAGCTCCAAAACGTCGGATGGGTTCCGGTCATTTGAATCGCCATGTCAGGTGATGTTCATTCTCTTCACGAACATTGATGCATGCGACCCAGTGAATTCCAGATGATTGGAGTCGTTCATTTTTCTTAGCCGATGACTTGACATTGATAACCTCACCGATGTTGTCTCCTACACAGACTGTACCCACGAAATGGTATAACGCATTTGTATTGGTTGCCTAGTGTACGCTTACTCATCAGAGATTTTGTAGAAGATCCACCACTATTGCGCTCAGCCAAACAGACATCGCACGTCTAGCAGAAAACTAAATGACTGTTTCGGCCTTTCGAGAATATTCAACAATACTTCTTCCGCAAACCAGATGAGTTGCTACTAGCTGCAACCCTTCATTTCCGACCCAATGGTTGAGACCACTGAACCACAAGGTAAGAGCGGCGGAGTCATTGACCAAGCGATCGAGTGCTTGGGCTATGGGATTTCAGAGTATGGTTTCGTGAAAGAATTAATGACTACCAAACTGAGCTATGGTGCAGCAAGTGGATGTAAATCTTGAATTATCTTCCGAGCCGAGTGGTTTATTTTGGTTCTTTCCGTGATTAGACAAAGTATCCTTATCAATGTCAGTTCCATTGCTGCTCCTGATAACCTTACCTTTCTCGGGGGTGTAGCGTTAGCGGGTTTGACCGATAGGGTCCAGGAAACAATCCGATTTTCTCGTACACTAACTCACTGTCTAGAGTTTTACAGCTCTTTATGGTCTGTACTTTGTTTTTACTCAAGTGCTAAATATTCATCTTTGTCAATCAGTTGATATGGCATTGTGCGCTGTACGCAACGGTCGCTTCCCGATCCAGAACACATATTCAGATTGACCAGCAGCGTAGTAGTTCCGGTGCGATTCAAGCTTGCCTATCTATGCCAATGACCTGACCTTGTTCCAGCAAGCACACAACCGCTGGTAGTTGCATGGGGGCGAAGTGTCAATGGGAGATTCCGCTTTTCTGCTAATACCTTGTCTACATTTAGAGCTAGACAGACACGCTTGAACCTGGCAGCAGAACCTCCAATGGTCTCATACATGTGGAACCGGTTTGTCTCAGAACTATGGTGCATTTCCTATTGAGCTAGCGAAAGGGCCGATTCATGATTCTGAGATATTTTGCACATATTTTGTACAGCTGGGGTACAATCAGGCCTGGCAGACGTGGCAGAAACAGGATCTCGTTGCTCTCGAGACTCCTCAACGAAGGGCAACCAAGAACGTCAGGGGCCTCTTTCATCCGCCCTATCAGCTTAGACTGAAATCTCTAAGAATGTACAGCAGTCGATATCGGCTTTTGCGGTGGATCTCATAATGGTTTACCAGATTCTGAAGAACCCAAACCACATTTGCCGTCCGCTGCTGGAATTGAATCATAACACTAAACTAAGAGGTCACCCTCTGAAACTGACAATTCATTATAGCCGGCTTGAATGCCGTAAAAATTTCTTTTCCCTCCGCTTGTGCCAGCCTTGGAACGCCCTCCCTAATTATGTGGTCTCTGCTCCCAATTTGGCGATATTTGAAAAACGTGTTAACGATGCACTGTCTCACTTACATTTCATTTTATGACTTGTTAGCCAGGGGCTACAAAACGCAATCAACCAATGAATTTATGGATTTATACGTTTAATACGCGACGACCTCCGCTATTCCACATAAGTCTATGGTAAGTCCACCAGAACGCTTTTCACTTTATCACGCAATTGATTTTCGCAATAATTTCCATCCTACGGGACTCGTTAAGCAATGTCTTTTTTATCCGTAATAAACCAGTGTTCCATTGTTCCATCTCAGGAAAGTTCTCCGGTAGGCAACTCGACATGAATGAACATCTTAAGCACCCAACGATGACCCTAAAATACGTAACGAACAAACCCATTCAAAATAAAATTGAACTAAAACGTTGATGTGATTGTTAACACAGGAGATTGAACGTTGCAACGTAGGTGATCCCAAAGTAGAACGCATGGCCAGACCCTTCTAGCTTTAACGAACAAGTTACATGTATGTATGAATAGGACAAATCTTTACTTATTACTATCTCAGCATTTCATAAGGATTGCAAAGTGAAGCTGTGTACCACGAACATCTGACTGAGGAGTATGGTCTCGAGTAGCCAAATGAATAGCGTTGTTTTGTTTCTCCACTAGGCGAAACACAGTTCAGCAGATCTGGATCACTCATCGACTACGGACCTGGATCGTCAAGCGATGAGTGCAGATGGAGTAACGCGAAAGTCAAAAAAAGACAAATTACCACAGTACAGAAAATGCGTTATGGCAAAGTATTACCGATAAAAAGCATGAACCGAAAATATGGAGTATATGTATTTTATTGTTCCCAGTTCAATATAATCTCATATTTTCTGTTGCAAACGGGAAAGGTTACTTTCTGAACAGTTTACCAGCCAGTGCTTGCATGGACGCATGAGAAGACAGATGCGTGGTGGTGAGTACCACGCGGAGTTTGAGAAGCGAAGACACAGGCCATGGTGTCCAATGTTTGCGCTGGTGGTTAATAGGCATCACAAACACATAATACGATAATGATTCGAAATACCGGTAGCTCGGGTTGATGAATCAATTGTTCATTTGTTCTCCGAGCTTGGCGGTTTTCTCGCAAACGTTTCACCACCATGCGAGGTGGCATCCTCAGTGCAGTGATATGTAGCGTACAAGCTTACTAAATGAATCCTCCCTCCCTGATCGACCTGCAGGTGACTTCGAACGTGGTAGTGTGTGTTCGGTATGTGGACGACACTTTTGTGATAATCAGACACAACCAACTAACAGTCGCACAACAGCTATTGAATAACCCCATGGAAGGGATTCAATTTACAATGGAACTGGAGAAGGAAAGGCAGCTCCCTTTCTTGGATGTATTAGTAACAAGAACTATGGAAGGCGAGCTGCAAACATCGGTCTACAGAAAAGGCACACACACAGACCAAATTTTGAACTTTAACAGCAACCACCCGAAATGCCACAAAGTAAGCTGTGTGCGGACACTGTTTCGCAGAGTGCAAACACACTGTAGTACCACAGAAGCAAAACAAAAGGAAGAAAACACCTACTTAAATGTTTCCAACTCAACGGATACCCACAAAGCTTCATCCGAAGGTGTCTGCGCCACAACAACGTCAACATACAGCCTACAACAACAACAACAACAACAACAGCAGCAGCGGCAACAACAAACACAACAACAACGACAACGGAGAAACGGGTTGTTCTGCCTTATATGAAGAATATATCGGAAATGGCAGCCAGACTATTCAAACAGCGTCATCTCATCGTAGCACACAAACCAACTGCCACGTTGAGAAAAACCCTTTCAAAACCAAAAGAAAAACTACGGGCACATGAACAACGCAATGTGGTATACAAAATACCTTGCCGAGATTGCGAAAGGGATTATGTTGACCAAACGGGAAGAAAATTGATAACAAGGATACAAGAACATAAGAGAGCCTGTATAAAGCATTATGCATCGTGGCTAGTTTCAATACATGTAGATGAAGAAGGACATAGGTTCGATTGGAGCAAAGCAGAAGTCCTGGCACGCGGTGAAACAAGAAACGGAAGAGAATGCTTGGAAGCTTGGTTCTCAACGAAACATTCAATCAACATGCGTGTGGACATCGATTCAATATACGAACCACTACGACAGAAAGAAATAAAGAACTTTTGTCACGCCGTTTGAGACAGAACAAATCTGGCGCCGACTTTAGCCTTGGGGAAAGTGGGTAGAGGTCACGAGACCTAAAATCGACACTACCACGTTCGAAGTCACCTGCAGGTCGATCATGGAGGGAGGATTCATTTAGTAAGCTTGTACGCTACATATCACTGCACTGAGGATGCCACCTCGCATTGTGGTGAAACGTTTGCGAGAAAACCGCCAAGCTCGGAGATCAAATGAACAATTGACATAATCCGATAGCCTAATATCGAAGCGCACAAGTCGATCTCGAGAGACATTCGTTTTCTTGAAATCAATTATCGGTTCGTGTATATAGCTGAGGACAGTGCACGAGGTAACACTGCCTTCTTATACATTGCATCTTCTGATATGCTTGTCTGAGATTACGAAGATTCCTAACCTGTGGTCTTAATTGGCTGAGTCAAGAATAACACTTTCCTCTTGTCTCGTAGTTTCTCACTGTGGCCATCCCTATCTTCCATTCTGTGATTACAACCT